TAATTCCTATTCAAACTGTAGTTTGTCATTCTGACCTTTACATTTGTAAATATGCTTTCCAATTGAGCTCTCTAAGGTTTAGACAAATGTCTGGTGTCTATGCAACCACACAGGTGACGTGCAGGTCCTATCTTGCAGCTTTCCATTCGTTGGCAATGTGCCTAACATCTACAGTGAATAAATACACCCCACAGGGCAGAAGAGAAAAAAATGAATCAAATAAAAAAATTCTTACATTAACTGTCAGCAGCAATTTCATTAGATTATTTCTTTTCAAACTAAAAGTTCTATTCACCACTGAATAAATTTATGTAAAGCCTATATAATCTATTTTTCACATGATATATAAATGCAAAAGATCACAGAAACAAAATATGATTAAAAACTGGCATATTTAAAAAATTAGAATAAATGCTTGTAGGATCCCTATGAGAAATTCAGAACCATATGTTTTGTAGTTTCCTTTTTCTCATGATGAAAAATAGCTAGCATTTGAGGTACTTGCTTTGTCTCAGGTACCACGCCATGCATCCTATTGCATCCTCACCATTGCCCTGCAGAGGCACAGTTATTATCCTCATTTTGTAGATGAAGAAACTGGAGGCTCAATAAACAATTTATCACGTCATCCATTTACCAACTGGTAAACCAGGATTCACACTTAGGCAGCCAGATCCCAAACCACTATATGGCTGCTATACATGAGCAAGGAATTAGGATGGGAGCTTGAAGGATTCTTAGGTGGGGCAGTTATGATTTTTAAAAATCAACTTTGGGGGCTGGCGCTGTGACGTAGCAGGTAAAGCTGCTGCCTATAGTGCCATCATCCCATATGGGTGCCAGTTTGAGTTTTGGCCACTCCTTTTCCGATCCAGCTCTCTGCTATGGCCTGAGAAAATAGAAGATGGCCCAAGTTTTTGGGCCCCTGAACCCACCTGGGAGATCCAGAAGAAGCTCCTGGCTCCTGGCTTTGGATTGGCACAGCTCTGGCTGTTGCGGCCATCTGGGTAGTGAACCAGCAGATAGAAGACCTTTCTCTGCCTCTCCTTCTCTCTGTATAACTCAAGTAAATAAATAAATCTTTAAAAAAAAAACAACCTTGTAAGGAATCTGGGGATACTTCAAAAAGTTCATGAAAAATTAAAATGTATTTGAAACCCATGCATAGTTTTCTCACAATATTACTTCTCTTTTTTGAAAAAAAATATTTATTTGAAAGAGTTACAGAGAGAGGGAGAAAGAGAGAGAGAGAGAGAAAGAGATTGATTTTTATCGCTGTTTTACTCCCCAGATAGCCATAACAGCCAGCTCTGGGCTAGGCCAAAGTCAGGAGCCAGGAGCTTCATCCAGGTCTCCCATGTGGATGGTAGGGGTCAAAATACTTGAGCCATCTCTACTGCTTTCCCAGGCCAAGCAGAGAGCTGGATCAGAAGTGGAGCAGCCTGGACTTGAACCAGTGCCACTATGCAATACCGTTGTCCCAGGCAGCTGTACCTGCTATGCCACAGCACCGGCCCCAAAATATGCATTTTCTATGAATTTTTTTGAAGACCCCTCATAGTGCACAAAAATAAAATTCATCAATTTTGTTCTTGCCATTTACTGGGCCACTCCACCCCCTCATCACCATTCCTCGAAAAATTGAGGAAATCCAGGACTTTCTGCTCAACCACATGAAAGGAGGATAACTCTGTTCACTTCAAGAAAAATAAAGATATTGTGAAGTTCAGAGTTTGATGCAGCAAATGCATTTATATCTTTGTCATCACAGACCAAAAAAAAAAAAAAAATGGTAAAGGAACCAAAGGAATCCCTGCCTCCAGGTCTGGCAGTGAAGGAGCTGAAATGAATTAGACACACCAACTTGAATTATTAAAAATTTTTTAATTAAAAAAAATTCACTAGGGGGCTGGCATTATTGGTGTGGTGGGTTAAGCTGTCACTTGTGGGGCTCCATGGGATGTGCAGCCATGGAGCCCCCATGTCAAGGTCAGTCTGATAGCTGTTGCTGTGTTTTTATCACAAGGTGGATGTTGCTAGTTTCAGTTAGGGCGATGCTTTCCAATGGTCGGGACTTTCCAGAGGCACTGAGCCTGTCTCGTAAACAACAAGATGGCGCCGAGGACTGCACGGTGAGCCTGCCTGCTGGGTGACACCTCATCTGATTGGCCCAAGGACGTGTGCACACTGCATGATCAAGCAGCTGATTGGAGTGTTCCGTGCATGGACTTGAGCTTGCTTGTAATTGGCTAGATTTTGTATATAAGCCATGTGCTGAGGAAGGAGGGGGCTTTTTTTCATCTCCTCTCTTCCTCCCTCCATTCTTTCTTTGTCGCTATTATTTTCTCATTAAAAGTCTACTGAAGACCTATAAGCTGTGAGCAATGTTGTTCCTTTGCGGGCAAGGGAGCGACAGTCACTTGCTATGCCTGCATTCCAAATTGAACCACTGGTCTGAGTCTGAGCTACTCTACTTCTGATCTAGCTCCTTACTAATGCGCCTGGGAAAAAAGAGGAAGATGGCCGAAGTGCTTGGGCCCCTACCACCCATGTAGGAGACTCAGAGTTCATGGCTCCAGCTGTGTGGCCATCTGGGGAGTGAACTAGGGGACAGATCTTTTTTTGTCTGTCTCTGTCACTCTGCCTTTCAAATAAAAAAAAAACTTTAAAAAATTCACCAAAATTAAGTATACAATTAGGAACATGTTGAAATCATGTACACAGTAGTTTAACCATCACAAATCATAATATAAAATATTTACCTCATCCCAGGAAGTTCTCCTGTGCCCTGTTACAGGTGACTCCTCCATCCCCTGCTCTCTGGCTCTTGGCAACCACTGATCTCCTTTCTGTCATCTGAGTTTTATGTCTTCTAAAATTTCATATGCATTCAACCATACAGTAGTCCTTTGAAGATGGATTTTTAAATTGACATCACGTGTTTGAGATTCATTCTGTTGTTGCCTGTATCAGTAAGTTACTTTTTTATTTTTTAAGCAGTATTCCAATACATAATTTTGCCATAATTTATTACCAATTGATAGGTATTTGGGCTATTTCCAGATTGTGGCAATTATAAATAAAGAAGCTATGGGTATTTGAGTACATGTCTTTTAATTTCTCTTGAATAAGAGAAATATGTTAGGACCAAAGGGTCCTAACATATGGTGAAAATCACAATGATGGTATGCACTGATGCCTATTGTTACCTCATCCAAGGAGCCTACACAATCATCTCAGTACAAAAAGACCTCTTTTCTTTTGTTAATCAATCATTTCCGTAATCACCTCTTTTTTCTTTTACCTTTTATTTATAAATAAAGAATACTAAATTCCTTTTCATTAACTATCAATTAAAGTAGAAAATAGAAAACAAAATGTCAAATTTCCAGGAAGGCTTTAACCCTCTTGGGCTCCTTAGAACTGGTGACTGCAATTGCAGCATTTTCTTTTGCATCTCCTGAGAGCTTTCCCAAAGAGGCGAGAATTATCTCTGTACTCCAAGCAACTCAGAGATGGTATAATGTCAGGCCTGAACCAATAGGGAAAACAACCATCTGACAATTTGGAGAAGAACAAAATCATGAGAGACCTAGGAAAATTTGTCCTTGGTATTGCAGAATTCATTGGGCATGCTGAAACTAAGATTTTTTTAAAAGATTGCTTTATTTATTTGAAGGGCCAGCGTTGTGGCACAGGAATTTTGCAGTAAGAATCTAAGGTTGTCTAACAGCACATGGGTGCTTTCTGATATCATGTTAAGTAAGTAAATTCAGGGGACTGGTGTTGTGGCACAGAAGGTTAAGCCACCGCCTGTGGTGCCGGCATCTAACATTCAAGTGCTGCTTTGAGTCCCAGCTGTTGCACTTTGGATTCAGCTCCCTGCTAATGTGCCTGGAAAAGCAGTAGAAGGTGGTCCCAGTACCTGGGCCCCTGCACCAGTGTGGGAGACTGGGATGGAGTTCCAGGCTCCTGGCTTTGGCCTGGCCCAGCCCCAGTCCTTTCACCCATTTGAGCAGTGAACCAGTAGATCTCTCTCTCTCTCTCTCTCTCTGTCTCTCTCTGTCTCCCCCTCCCCCCATAACTCTGCCTTTCAAATAAATAAAAAATAAAAATAAATTTAAAATTTTGGTAATTGCAATTCATCCAAATTCATCCGATTCATCATCCAAATTCAGCGATTAATTACATCCAATTAAAAGGTTTAACATAGAATTAAAAAGTATAATCTAATATAAAAGAATGACTTCATTTACATAATTAAATTGTATTCCTTAAAAAGGGCAAATGATGCAACAGAATTATGTAATAAATGTTACCTCTCACAATGACTCACAGAATAATATGTAGTAGAGGTAGAAGCAAGTACAGTAAGAGAGTAAAGGATGGAATCCATTATTTTCCAGCTGTGTGTACCTGGGTAAATCAATCTTAGTAAACTCAAGGTTCCTCATGTGTAAAGTGAGAAGAATTAATCCTTACTTCCATGGTTGTTAACAAAACTGAAGACAGTGTTTATACAGCCAGTGTCTGGCATGAAACACTCAATAAATAGAAGCTGCACTGTCTCCTTTTTACATATAAGGATGCACAATTTAAGACTTAACATTGGCTGGCGCCGTGGCTCACTAGGCTAATCCTCCACCTTGCGGCGCCGGCACAGCGGGTTCTAGTCCCGGTTGGGGCGCTGGATTCTGTCCTGGTTGCCCCTCTTCCAGGCCAGCTCTCTGCTGTGGCCAGGGAGTGCAGTGGAGGATGGCCTAAGTACCTGGGCCCTGCACCCCATGGGAGACCAGGATAAGGACCTGGCTCCTGCCATCTGATCAGTGCGGTGTGCCGGCCGCAGCGCACTGGCCGCGGCGGCCATTGGAGGGTGAACCAACGGCAAAGGAAGACCTTTCTCTCTCTCTCTCTCTCTCACTGTCCACTCTGCCTGTCGTCAGAAAAAAATATTCGAGAGTGCACAAATTCTGAGGATCGCACTTAACCATTGCAGTTGCTACGTTTAAAGGGGAAACTTTCACTTTATTCAACTCAGCATTTCAGGGTTTTTATTTGGAATTAACGAGGGTAAAAGGACTTATGTACAATTCTGCAATCTGACAGCAGTTATAAGTGCACTGAATGACTCTTCAGCTTTAAAATGTTGTTAGGCAGAAAACCTAGCCTCCAAGATCCTGGATTATTCTATGTGGATGATGCAAGGCAGCAATTGCACAAAGCAGAGGAAGCACTTACACGCCACCTAGCTGATTCTTAACAGATGCCATTTTCTCCCTTTCTTTTCGGATTCATCTCAGCCAAGCACAAAGGAAAGTCTATTAGAGGTGGCAGAGTATCAAATCCTCAGATCTGTATATGAACGTACGTTTTGCCAAATAGTATCTACATGGCGTCAGAGGAAATAAGTGCCTCCCACCCTCAACTAGAAATGCAAGCTTTAAAGAAGCAGAATGGAAGCAGTGATCGAGAAGGGAACATCAGAACGACTTCTTCGTAACATAAAGGTCCAGGGATTACCAAACAGCTTAAGCCCCGTGCCTGTGACTGGGACAGGGGCTTCTCCAGTTGTCCGAGTGATGCTGTACATTTGCCTCCCAGCACGCAGGCCCCTTTCCTCTACAAAGAAAGCTCATTTCTTGGTAGAATAACTTCCATAAAATTAAACAGCAGTAATTTCTAACAGTCTTCAGTCTGAGTTCCCAGATGGCCTCTAGAAATTAACACAGCTTTCTAATGATCAGAAATGAAGATAATTTGGATGCACTCCTGCTGTGCAGGTAGGATCCAGATAACTAATAATACATTTTTTCTTTCCTTTCTCTTTTTTGAAAGAAAGGATGACAGAAAGAGAGAGAGAGAGAGAGAGAGAGAGAGCAAGAGCACTCTTCCATCTATTGGTTCATTCCCCAAATGCCTACAATAGCCAGAGTTTGGCCAGGGTCCAGGAACCCCACCTGGTCTCCCAGCAGGATGGCAAGGACCCAATGACTTTGTCATCATCTGCTGCCTCCCAGGCACATTATCAAGAGCTGGATAGAAGCAGAGGTAGAGGCAGAGGCAGGACTTGATCCCAGGCACTCAACACACTGCATCACAATGCCTCCCTCAGAATAATGTGTTTCTTGAAGCTCTCTTGAAAACTAATTTTCAAAAACGGTTGCAAATTTAATAACTTATATGGAGTTTAGCATCTAAGGCCTATAGAGGCCTCTCTCATTGTACTCAAATAGTACCAGGAGAGTTATTAAAATGCTCTTAAATCAAGTAACGCTAAAAATTGGTTTACTCAGATTCTTCATGTTTAAAAATAGCCTGATTCAATCTCAGTCTCATTTTCAGTTGGACTGGAAAACCTTGGGGGTAAGGGTCCCAGTGAGATTTCAAATATACTCACATTAACTTTTCATTTGACTTTGAGAGTGTTTTCACCTTCAAGCTACAAGACGACTGATTTCTCCCTAGGACGCAGTGAGAGAATCTTTCTTGACATTCAAAACAGTGGAAGGAGTTACAGATTTGCTCCTCCATAAGGAAGATAGTCCAGTTCTGCCCTTCCTTCATTCTTGGCTCCCAGCCTACATCCACTGCAAGGTGAGGGTTCTGCAGAAAAAATCAGAACTGCCCTGCTACAATTCCAGTATATTTTTTAAAAAAGATTTATTTATTTATTTGAAAGGCAGAGTTACAGAGAGGCAGAGGCAGCGAGAGAGAAAGAGATAGGTCTTGCATCCTCTAGTTCACTCCCCAACTAGCCGCAACAGCCAGAGCTGGGCTGATTGTAAGCCAGGAGCCAGGAATTTCTTCTGGATCTCCCACATGGGTGCAAGAGCCCAAGAACTTGGGCTGTGTACTACTGCTTTCTCAGGTATAGCAGAGAGCTGGATTGGAAGTAGAGCAGATGGGACTTGAACCAGCACCCATATGGGATGTTGGCACTGCAGGTGGCGGCTTTTACCTGCTAGGCCACAGCGCTAGCCCCAATTCCAGTGTATTTTGAAAGCAGTCATCTTTGCACCTGTAGTGTTTCTACAGATAATAAATTAAGTAAATATGCTGTTGTTGCGAAAAACACATATTCTTCCTAAACAACCTTGTGATCTTCAGCCAGGCTTTTACTTTGTCGTGACTGTTTCCTTTTTTCCAAAATGGAGATAATAGCAGGTACCTTTCATGTGGTTGTGAGATTTCCATAAGACAAGGTTTAGTAAACAGCTTAGTGTAATATCTGATACATGCTCAATAAATGGTCATTGTTCTATTTTCTATTGTTTCTTTTTTCATCCACCAAGATCATCCTTAGGGCCATGGAAACGAGACTGTTGAAAGGCCCCAAGTACTAGAATGAGTGGGATACTGGAAATGTGAATGAGGTCTCATTTTTAGTCTATCATCAACTTTTTTCTGCTCTTTTCAGGAAAATTATCCATCCACTTTGAAGCATAATGCTCAGGAGTATATTATCTGGGAGACAGCCAAGCTAGAAAGAGAACTATGGGCTGAGGTGATCAGAACAAGGTGAAAGATTTGGTTAAGAACAAAAATATGGTTCTTTACTTTGGTCTAAGTGAGAACAAGGGAACTGAATCAAGAACTTCCCCTCTGTGCTTTGGTGCTGACTCCATGGTATAAGCCAAGCAGCGACTGGAATTAGCTCAGTCTGCTCTGATCCTATAACTTGTGATCATCCTCATGATACCAGGCAGAGGGCGGGGAGTCCAGTCACCAGCAGGGGTCAAGGATCAGGACAGAGGCCTGTGCTATGGTGCAGCGGGTTAAAGCCCTGGCCTGAAGCACCAGCATCCCATACAGGTGCTGGTTTGAGTCCCGGCTGCTACTCTTCTTTTTTTTTTTTTTTTTTTTTTTTTTTTTTTTGACAGGCAGAGTGGATAGTGAGAGAGAAAGAGACAGAGAGAAAGGTCTTCCTTTTGCCGTTGGTTCACCCTCCAATGGCCGCCGCGGCCGGCGCACCGCGCTGATCCGATGGCAGGAGCCAGGAGCCAGGTGCTTTTCCTGGTCTCCCCATGGGGTGCAGGGCCCAAGCACCTGGGCCATCCTCCACTGCACTCCCTGGCCACAGCAGAGGGCTGGCCTGGAAGAGGGGCAACCGGGACAGAATCCGGCGCCCTGACCGGGACTAGAACCCGGTGTGCCGGCGCCGCTAGGCGGAGGATTAGCCTAGTGAGCCACGGCACCGGCCTGCTACTCTTCTGATCCATCTCTCTGCTATGGCCTGGGATAGCAGTGGAAGATGGCCCAACTCCTTGGGCCCCTAGGCCATATGGGAGACCTGGAAGAAGCTCCTGGCTCCTGGCTTCAGATCGGCCCAGCTCCAGCCATTGCAGCCATCTGGGGAGTGAACCAGCAGATGGAAGATGTCTCTGTCTCTACCTCTATGTAACTCTTTCAAAAAAATAAAATAAATGTTTTTTTTTTTAAAGGATCAGGACAATAACAAAATCTTCAACTCTTCCCTTTTCAGAAGCATCCAAATTACTTTAAAAACCCAAAAGGGTGATTGGAATTGGGTGGGAGTAGAGACTGGAGTATGAACATGAGCAATAATAGAAATACAGATAATTTTATTTCTTCCAATTTGGTCAAAAACTGAGAAGCTAGGTTCCTTTTCCACACCAAAACGAATGTCCTGGTCTCTTTTCATGTTACTCACCTTACCGTGTCCCAGTGCCAAGGGAGAAACACCTAACAATAGCAATGAAGCAGACCTTTTAGGATGGTTTCCCTCAGTTCCCTATGGTATTGGATAACTGCAAGAGAGGACATGCAATAAATACAATTTCAACAAATGCAATTTCCTTTAACCTCTAGAGAGATAAACACGATACAAGACATCGAAGACACAGCATTCTTCCAGCCCTCATTGCAATGGGGCATGGAGGCCTTTGCACACAGGTTGAACAAAATGATGTCCAAAGGCAGAGACTTAAGAGGCACACCTGGGTCTGTAATGGGCTCTGTCCCTAACCAGCTGTATCCGACTTGAGAAAAGCGACTCAACCTTTCTGTACCTCATTTCTATGTATTTCAAATGTATCTTTCTGGCTACTCCTCTAATAGATTGCTGTGAAATTGAATGAATTTATACGGTAATGTACTCTATGTAAGCTGCTGTCATTGTTGACTCAATCCTGAAAAACCTCTCATCTTCCTACGCACCCATCTCTCTGCACCTTGTAACACAGGGTTTTGAATTCTGGCGCCGTCACTCACTATATGCGCCCTAGGGAACGTGATTTACTCTTCCTAAGCCAGTTTCCCTTTCTACAAATTGGGAGCAGTAATGGTTACTTTCAAATGTCATTGTGTGGATGAAATGTTAATGTTTTTAAATGTAAATGTTAGTATCTGGTAGTGAATGTCATTACTTCCAGCCCTTTGACAATCAGTTAGGATGAACAGAGTCCTGCAGTATCCAGAAGTAAAACACTGAGGACCGTACAGTCCATTATGTAATTATAAGCAAATGGCTGCTCTTGCCATTAGGAAATCTCAGGCTGATCAGTGTACAGAAATCTCCCTAAAACCTTCATGAGAATGGCACTGTGAATTTACTGAAAACTGATTTCCAGGTTTTTAACTTTAAGGCAACCAATATAGGTAGGTGATAAATAATTTAGAGATGGCATTTTATAGTGCACAGATGTTTAGAGAAAGCTTTATGACTTGGTTGTTCTTGCATTTCAGTTTAGTAAATGTTGACCTATGGTGGCCATGAGCATTGTTGCACCTAAAGGCTTTCTGCACTGTGACTCACGGACATGCGTGCCAGGCATTCCTGGGACTCTCTGTCCCTAGGAGCAGGGGCCTGATCTCCAAAGACACATTTCTCCTCCACAAGTGGAAATTGTAAATGGGCCCCACGTTGTGGCACAGTGTGTTAAACTGCTGCCTACATCCCATATGGCTGCTAGCTCCAGTCCTGGCTGCTCCATTTTCCATCCAACTCTCTGCTAATGTGCCTGAGAAAGCAGTGGAAGATGGCCCAAGCGCTTGGGCCCCTACCACCCCTGTGGGAGACCTAGATGAAGCCCCTGGGCCCTGACTTCAGCCTGATGCACTCCAGGCCATTGGGACCATTTGTGGGATGGACCAGCAGATGGAAAATCTCTCTCTCCATCTCTACCTCTCTCTCTATAACTCTGCCTTTCAAATAAATTAATAAATAATAAATACTTTTTAAAATGAGTCTTCTTGAATTGTTTGATATGGAAGTCTCAGAATTTAAATTTTCTTTGAATGAATTCACGGATAATTCTTCTTTTCTACAGTGCTACTGCAGTTCATCAAATAATAATAATCTCTCTACTAGAAGCTAGCATACCGCTGCACAATGGAAAAACAATCTAAGAACAGGTCCCTCTGTTTTCAATGCAACACATTCCAAAAGAGTTATGTGTCTGATATAAAAATGAATAATGCCAGACACAGAGAGTGTTCCTCCAAGAAACCTTTTAGTTAGTTTGATTCCTCTCAAGTTTTTCTCTCCTCAGTTAGTGCTCACTGTGACCTGGAGAAGTGGTCCGAGACTCAAGAGTAAAGCTAAGTCTAACCTGTGGGTTGTGAAGCTTTCTACCTTCTGGCTGAAGGCCAGCCAATAGATTGATATAAAGAAATACTTGCTTTTGAAGATTTTGGTTTTCCATAAAAATGCTTACAGCCCAATAGTTCCCTGAATAAGACTGAGGATCAATAAATGGCTTTTGAGTAAATTTATTTAGTCTTTGGAATGATGTCTTTTTGTAGTGATATTTCAATTTGAAGACTTATAATTAAGTACTGTTTCATCCTCCTTAATAATAAGGTTGGAAGGTGTTTTCTTTCTTTCTGGCATTATAAAATCAGCCTGTCCTGGTGAAAGCTTAGGAAAAGTATAGTTGATGTATTTTTGAAATGCTGCCCTGGTTTCCTGTAATTCTTCCTCCAGAAAATCCTTCCAGTTTGTCATGATTCCCAGTTGTTTCACTATGGACAGCAGCTCCCCCTGGGTGTTAACCAGTTTACCCATGACGTTGCCAAGCACGGCCTTATGTGTTTTCTCTGCTTCTTGTAGCACTTCCTGGGCCTCTTCTTGCTTCTTCCTGTGAACCAGGCCATAGAAGATGTTCAGTTCATGTTCTTTTGCCTTAATCAATTGGGCCATGTTTGTCTTCTGATCATTGAGAACTGACACACCACTATTCACAAGTTCCTCCATGGCCTTGCTGCAAAAAATAATATGAATGTATAAGTTAGAAGGATTAGCTGCTAACCAAATGATTTTTTCTTTAACCACAAATGGATGAGAACTCATTACAGTGTAGAGGTGAGCCACTACCCTGAGACAGACTGCTATAGATGCGCTTTTGGACTGTGTTCACTCTTAACAGTCAAACCTATTTTTCAGAGCAGGGAGGCTCCCCACTGACTTCCCTGCTGTGGGCTAGAGGGAGCCACTAATCTACTGTGAACCTGCAACTTTAGAGACCTCTGTTTATCTTGGCCAGAAAAAATATGAATATATCGGGCTTAAAAATAAACAGGGTCATTCCTAAAGTAAGTATTTCTTTATATCAATTCATTTGCTTACCTTCAGCCAGAGGGTAGAAAGCTTCATACTCATAGATTACACTTAGTTTTAATCTTGAGTCTAGGGCCACCCTTGAGAGCCATTGCTGAATGACCCACAGATCTCTGTTTATAACGTAAGGAGTTGTATCTAGTTCATGTGCCAAGCAGGTTGGTGAGCTGTGCACATTACCAACCCCTCAAAAACAATTCTCTGAAGTCATTTATGACTATGCCCTTTTTACCATGAGGGCACTGAAGCTCAGAGGGGGTAAGCAACTGTCTGCATTTGCTTAATAAGTCAAAGTGGTGAACATAGCACCACAAGTCCAAAACAAAGGTTCTTAGCCGGTGATTCGTTTCCAGCAGAGTTCTGTAACATCTAAAGGACCTCTAAAGATTTGAGAATTTTATAAATCTGCAAATATTGGATTCAAATTTTAAAGCTGTTAATAAAAAATCTCCCCTCTGCCTCCCAGTCTAATATAGCTGTTCCAAGATTCACTACCTGCAATATCTTCTAAATCCCATTTCCCAAGGTGCAATTCTCATTTTCTCCTGATTCTTCCACCTTGACTTCCAAACCTGAGACTTCTCCAGTCTTGAAGTAAACATCTTTTTTTTTTTTTTGACAGGCAGAGTGGACAGTGAGAGAGAGAGACAGAGAGAGAAAGGTCTTCCTTTTGCCGTTGGTTCACCCTCCAATGGCCGCCGCGGCCGGCGCGCTGTAGCCGGCGCACCACGCTGATCCGAAGGCAGGAGCCAGGTGTTTCTCCTGGTCTCCCATGGGGTGCAGGGCCCAAGCACTTGGGCCATCCTCCACTGCACTCCCTGGCCACAGCAGAGAGCTGGCCTGGAAGAGGGGCAACCGGGACAGAATCCGGCGCCCCGACCAGGACTAGAACCCGGTGTGCCGGTGCCACTAGGTGGAGGATTAGCCTAGTGAGCCACGGCGCCAGCCGAAGTAAACATCTTCTGTCCTTAGCATCTCCAGCTACTACGCTGTTTCTCCTCTCTCTTTTCCCATTGACTAGGTGATATCCATTACTGATAGCAGGATTAGTGCTTATGGAGCACTTACTGTGTCTCAGGGACCATGCTATAGTATACTATATATTATACTATCTTATTTAATTTTCACAATAACCCTTTAAGGCTGGTACTATTTTATTTTTTATCTATTATTATTCTCATGTAATAGGGTAGGAAATTGAGGCTTAGAGAGATTAGGTTATTCAATGTCACACAAGTGAGCAAGTGGGAGCGTCTTTGCTCTTCAACCTGATGAGAGGTCATTACATATTTTCTGTCAGAAAGGGACACAATGAAAATAATGTTTTAGAATTGTTATTCTGGTAACAGTATATAAACTAAGTCTCAGTGAGGTGATGTAGAGAGACCAACTGGTATCATTTTATAGTATTCTGGAGATGCCATGATGTGGGGCTGAACTGCCCAAACCTATGACTGCTAGGATACAGGGCATCAAAACCCACTTTTTGCTTCTCAACCTGGGTCACAGGAGAGTGGAGGTGCTGTTAATAGAAGTGATGCTGTGCAAAGACCTGGCAGTGTTCAGGCACACCCAAGCTGAGGAGTTAGCCTGATGTTTTAGAAAACATTTGGGTGGTTGGGGACATTATAAAGATCACCAGCACCTCTGGGGTTTAGTTCAGAAAGAGCTCTAAGGGTGTTTCCTTGTTGCAGTCCCAAACACCAAAATAGGAAGCTCTGCTCTCCTCCCCTAGAGCTCTGCCACAAGCAAGACTGTTTCCTGGCAGGTTGGCCTGGCATTCTCCTTGCCCACACACAGGAGGTGTTCATCTGGAAGGTTCCACCGGAGCCATCTTCAGGTCAATCTGATCCAGTGACACATATCCTCATTGATCCTGCTCCCACTTTCAATGACAGTCCATTTTAAGCTAACATAGAATTTGCTCTTGCTAGAGGGGCCATACACACACATGCACACACACACACGCACACACACATATATAATCTCCAATGCCCATTCCAATATAAAGTGAACATCTATAAGCTTTCTGTAAACAGTGAGGTCCATCTTCCATCTCTATCTTTTTGGGGTTATGACTGGAAATTTTGAAATATATAGCATTTTTAAGGGTAATGCTAGCCAGAAGTATAATTGCTTTAAAAATAGTTACACTGTATATCCATATTGATAGGATTTGGTATGATCATAAAATTGCTTTTTCAAAAATAAAAAGTTACTTAATAGAAGTATAATCCAATATCTAACAAAATAGTCTTACTGGGCTGTGGAGTAAAAAATTGAGCAGGGAGAATCTATACTACCAGATGATTTGTCCTTTGCTTCCTTGCAGGGATGGGGAACCTTTTCTCTGCTAAGGGCCATGTGGGTATTTATAACATCATTTTCAGGCCGTACAAAATTATCATGTTAAAAATTTGCCTGCTATAGACTTGTTGCATTTTGAGTCCCACCTGTAGTTGCCTTGGCTGGGCCAGACCAAATGATTTTCTGAGCCGTTTACATTCCCCACCCCTGCTTTAGAGCCCCTTGCAGTCCACCTCCTCATTATTTTTGGGAAGCTGTTGAAATGGTACATGATATATTGCTCACAGGTTTAAAGAAAATTATCATTGTGTGTTCCTTCTCTTCTACTTAGTATGTGAATTTTTCACTTTCCTTAAATGTGTTGCTAACAGCACAGTTTTCAACCTTATTTCAATGTCTATCAACCAAAAATTTGATTCTTAGAACAGGAAAAACCAGTGCTTCATTTACCCCATAAGTAATTCCTAAATCATGAAGAGATTTGTTTCGGAAATTCATTTCTATATAGCGTTTGGAGCAATGTTGAACACAGCAGATTGTTTGCTTGGTTACCCCAATAAAGAATATGGGGATTCTATCAGAAGGAAATAAAGGTTCTTGCATGTATTGGGTGTTGAATAAAGAATACTTTTCATTGGGAATTACAGCATGACCACAAAAATTCCTGAGGGATCACTGTACTTATGCCTTGCCTTAGGCTAGAAAACAATTAGAACCTTTCCAAGCAGAGATGCTTATTATAAAAAATACTTTCGGAGCAGATTTAAGATGGCTGCATAGAGAAAAGATGTTCTGATTCTGATCAGGGGGAGATAGCAGAAGAAAAGCAGAGGAAGTATATTCCCCAGGGGGAGAGCTGAAGAGAAGTCTGCAGTTGTTAACTCAAGCAGCAAAGAACAAGGAATAAGTCATAAACTAGAGGTCAAGAATGGAGGTCTCAGGCTCAGTTCTGCCGCCACAGCTTGGTAATCTTGGGCAGGTCACTTAACATGTGAAGTTACAGTTTTCTCCTCTACCTGGTCTCCACTGAAGTGTATGTGTATGTTTATAAAATCTGATCTTTGGAAAAATCATTTGTAATTAGGAACACATATAGATTATTTTAATAGATGGTCTCTCTATTTAAATTATTTACTTATTTATTTGAGGGAAGAAAGAGGAGGGGAGAAAGAGACACACACACAATTCATGAGCTCACTCCAAAATTCATCAGTTCACTGCAACAGCCTGGGCTGGGCTAAAGCCAGGAGCTGGAAGCTGAGTACTCAATACAGGTCTCTCATGTGCGTGGCAGGAACGCAACTACTTGACCCACCCATCACCTTTGCCTCCCAGGGCCTGCGTTAGAAGGAAGCTGGGGGTCAGGAGCTGGAGTGGAGCAGGGCACCCGGGCACTCCAATGCAGGAGGGAAGGAAGAGGTGGGGAAGCAATGAATCAGCACTTGTAATTTTTGTTCTACACACAAATATTTCCCTAACATCTACTTCTTTTGTAACGTATAGTACTTTAACACATCCACAATAGTGTATGACCTCCAGGCTACAGAAATGCAAAGATTGATTCTATGTGTTACTGGGAAAATGTTGCTCCATCCCTCCCCTCGGCATCTCAAAACTGGTAATACAGAATGAAAAGCACAGTCTTTAGAAGAGTAGTTATCTCTTGAGGGGGAGGGACGGAGGTACGATTGAGGAAGAGCACAGGGGGATTGCAGAGTAAGAATTTTCTTTTCTTTTCTTTTCTTTTCTTTTCTTTTCTTTTCTTTTCTTTTCTTTCTTTTCTTTTCTTTTCTTTCTCTCTTTCTTTCTCTCTCTCTCTCTCTTTCTCTCTTTTGACAGGCAGAGTTAGACAGTGAGAGACAGACAGAGAAAGGTCTTCCTTTTGCATTGGTTCACCCCCCAAATGGCCGCTACGGCCGGCACCCTGGGCTGGCATGCTGCGCTGATCTGAAGCCAGGAGACAGGTGCTTCCTCCTGGTCTCCCATGGGGTGCAGGGCCCAAGCACTTGGGCCATCCTCCACTGCCTTCTCGGGCCACAGCAGAGAGCTGGCCTGGAAGAGGAGCACCGGGACAGAATCTGGCGTGAGCCATGGCACCGGCCCAATTTTCAATTCCTTAGACTGAGTGGATAGGTCCTTTAGTATTTATGTTACTATTTGTCTTTAGCCACATACATACTCTACAGGATATTATATATCACTTTCTGTGTTTCATGTATTCCACAAGAAAAATGTTAAAACGCAAAAGCTGGACTGTATACCCCTGTGCGCCTTCCCCTTATTCCTTTCCCACACTGACTTTGACAGAGTAAGATACTGAATTGTAAATGTGATCTTTGGGATACCTTCTCTGAGCCTGGATTGCTTCCTGGGCGATCTGCCTTTCTTCATCCCTGGCTTTCCGCACAGCCTCCACCTTCTCCCGGTGGCACTCCATCATAATCCTTTGGATTCTGTGCACCATGCGCTGTTCCGCAGCCATGTGTTCTCTCTTCATTTCATCATCCATATTTACAAACACCTCTCTCTTGGTTTTAACTGCCATTTCCTTAAGTAACAGAAAAACTAGGTTTAGAACAGCATAGCATTTTTTTAAAAAAGGTTTATTTATTTACTTGGGAGGCAGAGTTACAGACAGAGAGAAGGAAAGACAGAGAGAGGGGTCTTCTATCTGCTGGTTCATTCCCCAGAATAGCTGCAATGGCCAGAACTGGGCCAATCCAAAGCCAAGAGCTTCTTCTGGGTCTCCCACATGGGTACAGGGGACCAAGCACTTGGGAAATCCTCCACTGCTTTTCCAGGCTATCAGCAGGGAGCTGGATAGGAAGTGGAACAGCCGGGACTCAAACCATTGCCCATGTGGGATGCCGGAGCTGCGGAAGGATACTTAACCTACTACACCACAGCACCAGCCTCAGACAGTTTGGAATTTAAAAACACACTCTAAAAACCTACTTAAATCATTTCACCTACCTATGGAATAACAAAAATGTGCCAACTATGTAACATAAATATGTGTGTGTATACACGTGTGCAATCCTGAAAGGGGATATGCAAAAAGAAAAATGGGTTAGAGGGATACAATTAAAGGTCCTTTTTTTTTTTTTTTATCATCCCAATAGTCTACCGTCAGATCATTATTACACATTACGAGAAATATGTAATACGATTGTAGCAAACATGAGAGGGCTGGGATCTTCATCCTAGGGGACTCATTGTGTAGTGGAAACCGGCAACCTAACTGTGCAACGAGCATTGTAACACATTTTCAAGAATGGAAGAGCAATTTTCAGCAGTTTCAAAACTTTCATTTAAAGGTAAATTTCTACATTTTGGAGAAGACATCAAAAGAATTTAAGTTACTGCACATAGTAAGTCAGTGGAAGAACAAGGAATGGAAACTAGGATTCCTGACTGCCTATTTATGGCTTCTTTACTAGAATCTTCAAGAGATTCATCAATTTATTTTAATTCCAGAAATCTGTACACACTTATAAGATAGTACAACAACATGCCTTCTTTTCTCCCTCCTTTTCTCTCTTACTTTCCTTCCCACCTTTCTTTTCTTCTGGCTGTGGCATTAGAGCAGGGTGCCACAGCCCCCTGCCAAGCTATGAGTTATGCCTTTAAACTGCCTGACTGGGAGAGTTCCAGGCATACAAGTGGAAGACACCAGAGTGACCAAGGTGTTAGGGGGACTGGCAGATCACTATCAGCTGATGGAGAAGTGTTTCAATACTTTAACTCTTAGTACTGCTGCACTGGGACACATCAGCTGAAAAGCAGGCCTGACAAAGACTTGCTCCACATTTTGAACTAAAACACGGCACGGGCAGGAAGCTGCTGCAGGCCACCCCTCAGAGACCACGCCACGCCTGGCTAAGCAGCGAGCATCCTGCTACCCTCCTGGAACTCAGGGTTGAGCTCTTTTATGTGCCAGTCTTCTCAGGGAAGGGACAGTCCATTTAATCTCACCTTGTACAGATTTAATATACAGCAGGTGCTCATCGCCAAAACAATGAATAAATGGGCCCGTATTCCCTGAGCTGTTTATCTGTGTTCCGACTCAAGCCACACCCTGGCTGACCTCCACCACTTTTCTCCAGCCTCGGAATAGTTATCATCACACTGCACCTTGTCCTGGCATGTCTCCTGATTAGCCAAAATGGGTGAATAATTCTGTAACTCTTTCCTTTGCGAAGATTTTGTAACCTAGGCACTGAACTAAGCAATGAATCCTGGGGTTCTCTGCCTGGGAAGTTAACTAGTTATCTAGAGGCATATGCTTGAACAGGTTACACATCAGAGTTACCCTTATCTTGTGGTTGCTGGTCCTGCAGGAAATACATGACAGACAACTTGGATATCCCTGGGAACCTCCAGGGTCTCCCAACCAACCTCTAAGAAACACTAACCAAGATTTTACAATTAATCTGTTTTGTTTTCATTCTCTTGTAAACTTAAGTAATTTATTTTTATTAACTTAAAAAAGAAACCTGTAAATCTTTTTGATGTTTCTCTTCCAAAATTTGAATTTCAAATTTATGTCTGTCATTTGCTTCTTCAAGTGCTTTCTCCACTGCTTGCTTCTGGAGTTCAATAGCCTTTGAAATAAAAAGATCATATATCTATTAATATATCAGTATGGACACAGGGTAACTGTCATTATTTGGGATGCTGGCAAATCTTCAAGTGTACTGAAGTTAGCACCCACCAAGGAGGGTCCCTAATTACTTGCTGCAATTCCTGTCTCAAATTTCCCATAGCAAACTGGCTGCCTTAGTCAACGGTATCCTAACACATTCTAGCCCTGGAATTCCAGCTCTTGCATGGCCATTCCAGGAATGAATGACAGAGCATCTTCGCTGTCTGTAGGTGGCTGCGCTCTTTCCTTCTTGGCACTTTACTGATTTCTTGCTTAACTGCTACCACAGTAATGTATTTTGTACAGAAAATCTAGCAAACAGGGATGTGGAGATGCACAGAGCCTGAAGAAGCTGAGGACCATCCCAGATCCCCTGTATCAGGGGTTCAGAAAGAAATTTTATTATCTTATTTGAAGGATTTTGCAGTTTTATTACTTTATTATAACCCTAGATAAACTTACATTCAAGCTGCAGAATATTCATAAAAGCATCCTATTGTATTAGAATGTATAATTGATGGCTCACATTGAATTTGAATTTATTATTGATAAAAATAGATGGCCACTAAGATTCTGATATATATTGCTCTTTGCATTGGAGTGATTTAGATGTCCAAAATATTTTCATACCAAGCCTCTGTTGGCATTAATGCCAAACAATTCTGGTACTGTGTGATGTGAAGTCTATTTTATGAAGAAACCAAGAAGAAATTCTGTTTAAGCAGTGACTTGTCCTGTTCTCCAGAAGTGTAGAAAGTAATTTATGTCATTCTACTGATGACTGGAAGAAGTGGTAGCTTCAAGCTGAGGCTCTGCCAATCTGCACAGCAGACTCCTAGAATGACTTTCATAGTAAATAACACTCTGACCTCAGAATCAACCCACAAGGCCTCCTGGTCGGGCTGAAAGGCCTGCGAGAGCATCTCAGGCATGGAAAGACAAGACTCTGCGGGGCAAAAAAAAAAAAAAAAAAACAACCTTCACGGAGGATCTCTGCAAGACCTCAGAGGAAAGGAAGGGTCATCAAAGAAGGAGACGCTCTTCTCTGAAGGGAGAGAACATCCTCTTTGCTTATGGCCGTGTCCAAATAACGATGGAGTCTATGGTCACAAAAGGCCTTCATAGCCCTCGCAGCTCACAACAAGAGCTTCGGATGATCACTGATGTCATAAAAAAAGAGTGTTAATTGTTAAAGGAACAACAGTAGTCAATGTGTACTTGCTCCCCAGGTAGGACCTCTGTCCCTATTGAATTGCAATGTGAGAATCGACAGCAAATTCTCTCCCCAAACTGTTCTTCATATGTTGTGTGTGAGCAAATTGTTGAACTCTATGATTAGCATAGAGATGGTCCTCTATATATAAAGTCATACTAAAAATGATCAATAATGAAGAGGGAGATGGGAGAGGGAATGGGAGGTGGGAAGGGAGCGGGATCCGGGATATGAGGGAAAGAACCAGTGTATTCCTAAAGTTGTATTTATGTAAAAATGCATTAAATAAATAAATAAAAAGATTGAGGCTTTGCTTCAGCTCTATGTTTTGGATCCCTCTGTGAGCCCAACATTCAAATCGTCCCTCAGGCACTCAGCAGTCATGTGGACAAGATAGCAAGCATTTTAGAGAGGAGATGAAAGGGAGACTAGGACATAATGAAGCAACTGGAGAAAAACAGTCACTTAGTTCAAAGATATTATGCACTACACAAATGGATCATCACTTATATTTTAAATGTCAGGCCCTAATGAGTCATTTTCAACATAGACATCCTATTTGTTTTAGTTGCAATCAAATGAGAATAAAGGAAGCAGTAGTAATCCATACAAAGAAGGCAATTTAGAAGGAAGCTCTGAATGATGCCTACTCCTTACTACTCACCTACTATGTGCTGAGCACATTATTTCATTGAGCTCTTTCAAGTGATAGAATTGGCACTGCAATTATTCCTCTTTACAAATAAAGAAGCCAAGACAGAGATTGAAAAACTTGCTCAAGGACCAACTACTAACTAGGATTCAAAGTCAGTTCTGTCTGATGCTGGAATCTCTGCCTTGACCACTATGCTAAATGCTAAACAGTCTTCAAAAGTTCATAGAAAATGTGTATTATGAAAAAATGATGCAAGGACTTCAAAGCTATTTTGCATCAAACTCAGTTTATCTTTTGATTACATTTTCCACAAACTTTTTGAAGGATCTTCGTATTATTATTTTTTGGGCAAATCGAAAAAGTAAAAGAACTGTGAGGAAGTATTTTAGGTCAATTTCCAACTTTTTACCTGATTCCATACATCTGCTTCAGCTTTTGCAATACGTTCTTTGATAGTAGCCTCTTGAGATTGCTCTTCTTTATTCAGAATACTTTCCCCAATATCTGTGTATTAGAAGACAAATGATCATTCATCTTCAGACAGTTGGCTTTCCTTTCCACCATTACCTAGTTACTTAAGAGGATTATCTGGGAGAGAGATCCTTTAAAAAGATGTCAATCTTTTCTTTAGAGAACCATCAAAAGGCTAAGTTTCCTCCTATCTGATGAGGTGGGAACTACAGTACTGTCAGGCCAGGACAGAGTAAGTCACTTCAGCCCACAAAGTAGGCACTAGAGAAGTGAAATAAATGCCCTGTATTTTGTACACACAAAGTAGAAAAGTGTCTGAATATTTAAGGGACAAGAGAATATCACATCCATATAGCTCCTCTCTCATCACTCCTATCTGAGTTCTGATGCTACCCCCATCAGGGGAGTAGAAACCAAATAAATGCCGTTTAAAAATTGCATCATGCCTTTGTTTAGTGTACACACTAAATCCATCAAGTTTTCATGGGTTTAATTGTTTCAACTATGGGCTTAACTAAAGTGTAGTAGCTAATTATTTATCTGGAAAATATCTAATTCGATTTCCAAATAATAATATTTTCATAGTAATACCCTCTCTACCCAAACAAGGAAATAATTATCTAGCCAGGTGAGAGGAACACATCTCTACTGTCTACCTTCTTATACTTTCAGAAATCAGAGATGCAATCATTAGTTAATAGAAGAGGGGATCAGGGAGGCATTTAGGTAAACACCTCAAGGCTCAAAATCAGATGGAAAACTCTAATGTGCATAAAAGAGAGAAGGAAGTCAGTAGTTACAATCAGTCTGCCTTTGTATTAAATATATATGTATCTGCAAATATTCTCTTATTATTTATATGTATCTACTTTTATGTCACCAGCTACTTATTAAGAGTTTGCTTCTTTCACCCACTTATTAGGGCATTATTGAGACGTGTTTCTTCTTGCACACATATGGCAGGTACAAAAGTGCTGGCAAGGGCAAAAAGAACTCAAACTACTACCATGTGTAGGCTTTATAATAGGTATAAATATGAGGATACTTCAGAAAGTTTGTAGAAGGGAATCAAAAGGTAAGTTTATTTTGGTGCATGAAACTTTGAGATCCTTGCATATTTCTTTCATAATTGATATTTTCCACGAACTTTTTGAAGACCCATTGTATGTCATTAAAGCCACCATAATAACCTTCAAGGTAGGCATTAATACTGTCATTTACATATGAAGAAACAGATTGAGAGTTAAATATCTGCCCAGCGCACACAACAGGGACAAGGAGATGAATTCCAACCCACATTCTTTTCATGCCAAACAGACACCCTTGTAGGATAAGCAATTTTGAACAGGAAAAGCTGATAACAGTCCATGTAACAGTAAGAATGACATACAATACTATGGAACATTAGAACAAAGAAAACAACCATCACTTACCCAGGATATCTCTGTGAGTGTAAAAGCGTGTCTTAAATGGCTTGTATTCGTGGATCCGTTTGAAGGTTTCTCCAAAAGGGGCTGGTGGAATTAGTTTATTACAAACAGCGCAGCAGACAAAGTGTGTGTGATTTGGATTTCTGATCATAGCTAAATTTCAGATGACTTCTGCTATTTACTGTTAAAATAATTTTGAGATCAGAAAAAGTAGCTTTAAGAGAAGCTAGAAGTATGATAAAGCTGGAAGAAGGTCAGGATTTTTAGCAGAATGCTAGAGGACAGTAAGGATTGAATGATTTGCCATGATGCGCTCGTGGTTATGTGCCTTATGTTAAAGAATGTTGCTGAAAACCTCTGCCATCGAAGATACAGGTACTAGATTGGGCAAGATTTACCCAATGGCTCCCTCTCAGACTCTGGCATTAACTTGTTAACTTACTTGGCAACTGTTGCTAGGTAAAATAAGCTTTGCTCATAAAAGCAACTTGAAATAATGACCAAAGGGAGCATGATGCAGCCATTCATTTTCCTGGTATTTTCTGTATGAGTTTCCTATTGCAGCTGTAACAAATTAACATAAACTTTGTGACTGAAACACAACACACATTTAATCTCTTGCATTTCTCAAGGTCAGAAGCCTAAAAATGAATCTCTTGGTGCCAAAATCAAAATGTTAACAGGGCTGGTTACTTCTGGAGTGTTTAGGGGTCAGCCTGTATTCCTGCCTTTCCCAGTTTCCCAATGGGCTCACAGCCTTGAAGCCTCCAGCTTTCCCTTCTGTGTTTCCAAGCAATCATCTCTTCCTCTGATCTCTGCCTCACTCTATGGACCTCTGGGCCACACCAGAGTCTCATCAGAATAATCCAGGATAATCTTCCCAACTCAAAATCCTAAACTTCATCACATCTGCAAAGTCCTATATTCTCAGGCTCCAGAGTTAGGATTTGGGAATCTTTGCAGGGGAGGGAAGTATAAATCAGCCTATCACACTTTTCTTTTAATAGATGATTTTTAAAAATTTATTTATTTATTTGAAAGAGTTACAAAGAGAGACGAGAGGCAGAGAGAGAGGGAGAGAAAGAGATAAAGAAAGAGAGAAAGAGAGAGAGAGAGAGAGAGAGAGGTCTTCCATCTGCTGGTTCACTCCCCAGTTGGCCACAACAGCCAGAGCTGTGCTGATCTGAAGTCAGGAGCCAGGAGCTTCTTCCAGGTCTCCCACGCAAGTGCAGGTGCCCAAGGACTTGGGCCATCTTCTATTGCTTTCCCAGGCCATAGCAGAGAGCTGGATTGGAAGTGGAGCAGCCTGGTCTCAAACTGGCACCCATATGGGATGCCAGCGCTTCAGGCCAGGGTGTTAACCCGCTGTGCCACAGCACCAGTCCCTGGATTTTTTTTCTCACATAATTATTTAAGACCAGCAATGGAGGTAGTTTCTTAATTTTTCATATTATATATAAATGTGATGTTTTGGTGCCGTAGCAATAAAATTGGGAAATATGGTATCTTAAGAGAAAAAATACTTCTAACAAGTTAGCATTCAAAATTACTAAGCCTGGGGCCAGCACTGTGGTGTAGTGGGTAAAGCCAGCACCTGCAGTGCTGGAATCCCATATGGGCGCCAGTTTGAGTCCCAGCTACTCCACTCCTGATCCCGGTCTCTGCTATGGCCTGGGAAAGCCGTGGAGGATGGCCCAAGTCTTTGGGCTCCTGCAGCGGCATGGGAGACCCAGAAGTTGTTCCTGGCTCCTGGCTTTGGATTGGTACAGTTCCAGCGGTTGCAGCCATTTGGGGAGTGAACCAGAAGAAGGAAGATCGATCTCTCTCTCTCTCTCTCTCTCTCTCTCTCTGCCTCTCCTTTGCTCTCTGTGTAACTCTGCCTTTCAAATGAATAAATAAATCTTAAAAAAATTACTACACCTGTTTTTAAGTCACATTGTTCCTATGATTTTAACAGCCTTAGAGATTCTACAAATCACAAACACCATGCAAATGATTACAAATGACTAATTTTGTTTAAAAAATATTTATTTTATTTATTTGAAAAACAGAGTTACAGAGAGAGGTAGAGCCAGAGAGAGAGGTCTTCCATTCACTGGTTCATTCCCCAGATGACTGCAACAGCCAGACCTGAGCTAATCTGAAGCCAGGAGCCAGGAGCTTCTTCCAGGTCTCCTGCATGGGTGCAGGGGTCCAAGGACTTGGGCCATCTTCTACTGCTTTCCCAGGCCATAACAGATAGCTGGATTGGAAGTGGAACAGCCCAGTCTCGAACTGGTGCCCATGTGAGATGCCAGTGCTGCAGAGCCAGGGCTTTAAGCCATTACACCACAGCCCCAGCCCCAAAATGAATGATTTTTTTTAAAAAAATTGCTTATCAATTCATACATAGCATCTACCTGGCAATACTCATTTTATAATTAATCAATGAAATTAATTTCAGCAGAACTCCCACACAGCCCTATGCTAAGTGTGCCACAAGTTAAATATAACTTCTTTATGAATCACATTTTAAAAAAGATTTATTTATTTGAAAGGTAGGGTTGTTGAGAGAGAGAGAGAAAGAGAGAGAGAGGTATCTTCCATCCGTTGGTTCACTCCCTAAATGGCTGCAACAGCTGGAGCTTGGCCAATCTGAAGCCAGGAGCCAGGAGTTTCCTCTAAGTCTCTCACAGGTGCATTAGTAGGGAGCTGGTTCGGAAGTAGAGCAGCCAGGACTCAAACTGGCACCCATATGAGATGCCAGTACTGCAGGCAGCAGCTTTATCCGCTATGCCACAGTGCTGGCCCCTATGAATGACATTTGAATTGATTCATGTATCTTAATGACTGGCTAAAAACTTTAAATAACTCTATCAAAAGGTGCCAGATTAACAAGCAGAGTTAGGCATAGGTGTTTGGCCTCTGCAGATCATATCTGCGTGCCTGGATTAGACTGCCAGCCTCGGCTCCTGATTCCAGCTTGCAGCTAATGCAGATCCTGGGAGGCAACGGTGCTGACTCAAGTAGTCAGGTTCCTGCCACCCATGTGGGAGATCTGGATTCAGATTTTTGGATCCCCAGCTGTTCTGTACATATGGGGAGTGAATTAGCAGATGGGAGCTTGCTCTGTCTCTGACTTTCAAAAAAAAAAAAAAGTTTTTAAAAGAAAGGGGTTAATTGACACTGGAAGAGAGGCAAAAGAGAAAATGAATTAATACTGAGAACTGAAACTACTGAATCCATAGTTAACTATATGTATTGGGAACTGAGGCCTCCCATGTTATGACCCTCTGACCTGTTTCTGGCAATTCTTACTTAACAGGTAGGGTAACCAACTAGTTTTGATTTGCTTGGGCCTGATCCTGTTTAGAAACTGTAAATTCTGGAGCAGGAGTTTGGCCTAGAAGTTAATTTGCCAGTTAAGACACCACAACTCACACAAAAGTACATGGGTTTGATTCTCTGCTCCAGCTCCTGACTCCAGCCTCCTGCTAATGAGGATCTATGGGAGGCAGTGATGACAACTGAAGTGAAGTGATTGGGCTCTTGTCATCCAAGTGGGAGATGTAGATTGAGGTTCTTGGCTTCGGCTTGGCCCAGCCCGCAGGCATCTGGGGAATGAACCAGCAGAGAGATTTCTATCTCTGTTTATCTTGGTACCTTTCAAATAAAATTTTTAAAAATTTTAAAAAGCTGTTAGACGCACTTGGTAAAGTGATAAGTATAAATACACAACTGATCAAAAAAAGATAGGGTATGTGTTGATGAGATTTCACAAATAAGACCAGTGTAAGCAAATAATGAAGGATAGAATTAAAAGGGAGAGAATGATCCTGAGGGGGAAACAGGACACACAGCAGACTCATAGAATGGCAGCACTCCTGCCTCAGAATCAACCCTTGGGACATTCAGATCTGGCTAAAAGGTCCATGAGAGTCTCACAGGTGGCAAAAAAACAATCTAAATGAAAGATCCTGGTGAACAAGACCCCAGCAGAAGGAACAGGCCATCAAGGAGAGAGGCGCCTTTCTCTGAAGGGAGGAAGGAACCTCCACTGTGATATGGCCTTGACTAAACAAGTTCAGAGTCGGGGAACTCAAGGGGCTTCCATAGCCTAGACAGCTCATAGCAAGAGTCTCGGGTGATTGCTGACGTCATAAATAAGAGTGCCAATTGTTAATCAACAACGGGAGTCACTGGGTACAGGCTCCCCACGTAGGATCTCTGTCCTTAATGTGTTCTACTATGAAACTTAAAAAACAACACTACTAGTCGAACAATACCTATACCTTGTGTGGTTGTGTGAGGGCAGCCTGTTGAAATCCTTGCTTAGTATATACTAAGTTGATCTTCAGTATATGAAGGTAATTGAAAATGAAACTCGATGAAGGGCGGGATGGGAGAGGGAGTGGGAGAGGGGAGGGCCACGGGAGGGAGGGAGGTTGTGGGGGGAAGCCACAACAATACAAAAGTTGCACTTTGTAAATTCACATTTATTAAATAAAAAAAAAACTATATAACAAACAAAAAAAAGAACTTAATACTTTACCCTTTTAGTATTTTTTATGTTCTACTTAAAACTATTGGTTGAACTCTGTAATTAATACACAATTACTCTTAGGTGTTTAATTAATGCTATAACTAGTATTTTACACTTTGTGTTTCTGTGTGGGTGCAAACTGTTGAAATCTTTACTTAATATATGCTAAATTGATCTTCTATATATAAATATAATTGAAAATTAATCTTGATGTGAATGGAAGGGGGGAGGGAGTGGGAGAGGGGAGTGTTGTGGGTGGGAGGGAAGTTATGGGGGCGGGGGAAGCTATTGTAATCCATAAGCTGTACTTCAGAAATTTATGTTCATTAAATAAAAAAAAAAAAGCTGTTAGAAAAAGTCAAATTTCCATTCTTCATAAAGTTCCCTGCTTTGCTAATTTGTTATTTTTCAGCATCCAAAAGAGCTTAAGAAGCATACTTTTTTTTTCCTTTCATCTTTACAAGTAGAAAAGAGCAGGGGTCATTGGCTTTCCTAGAAGCCATAAGGAGGAGGTATAGTATGCTGAAGACATACCTAGACTTCAGAGCAAGGAGACCCAGATTCCAGTCCAGTCCTGACTCAGAATCACAGTGATCTTGGACAAATCTTTTTTTTTTTTTTTTAACCATTCTCAGACCACTTGGACAGGTTTAGACTGGGCAAGTCTGGTGTTCAAACTCCTGTGATTATTTCAAAGCTGTTTTATTTTGGTAGTTATGCCTTCATTCATTAGAGTACTGAAAACATCACCACGGAGCCAGCCAGCCTTGACACAGATTTCAGAGATGAGATTCCTAGTAAGCCTCAATCACAATGATCTGGAGAATGAGGTAAACATTTAGAAACCAAACAAGTCCAGGGGCCAGTGTTGTTGCATAGTGGGTAAAGCTGCCT